CTTTTACCAACGAATAGTGGGATTGACCGTCACATTATAACGCCCCCATGGCTAAAAGGGCGTGCATGTTTGGTGTCACGGGGATTCGAACCCACGACCCTCAGATTGCGAGTCAAGTGCCTTAACCACCTGGCCATGCCGGACCCACTCAATAAGAGCTACAATCAACCAAGTACAAAGTCAGATTTTTGCAATGCTTGCATCAAATGAATAAAGTACCAAAAATCCTACATTTTTCAAATGTTGGCAGTGTAACTGTAAAATAGAAAACCATCATGTATGAATCTTTTAGTGAAAATGGCACATCTTAAAAAGCCTGTTTTAACTTGTTAACAACAGTTTGTTTACTGTAATCACATCCTCATATTTTACATATAATCAGATATTTGTGTAATCAAATGAAGATAGTTTCATTACTACATGAACATCTTCTAGTTCACTAAGTATCTTAGTCATTACAGCACCTTTCCCAAACCTGTGGTTTGAAAGTCACATTGAATTACTTGGGATGATGTTTCTCTGTATGCATTAAGCCTAAAGATATTTTCAGTTTGCCAAAATTATCCATGTAAGTAACAGTTACATAGGCATGCTTAGCTGATCTGAAGAAATCTAAGTGCAGAATGACAAGTGGGAAACAAAAGTTTGATCTAAAACACACTTTTTTTTTTTACATGCTTACAATTTGAAATCAGTAATGGACAGGTTAAAAAAAAATATGATAACCCTTTTTATATCTAGCATGAAATGTCAAATCTTGTGTTATGTAAGGTGTGAAGGTTTTAAAAACTCACTGGTTCTCCATCTACTTCAGGCTGTTTTACATAATCTTTATGTGAAATGGATGCTCCATTTAAAAGACGCTCTTCTTTCTGAAATAGGAATTATTGTAAAATATATACATGCAAGTGATACTCAAGTCAGATGCATATATATATATATGCTGGTATTGAAACTGACTATTACATATAACATCACTGTTAAGCAGAAAATGCTAAATATTTACACTTGTAACATTTAAGCACAAAAACGAAGAACTTCTGACAAGGATAACTAATCGGCAGGAATGTCACAAGAGTCAGAGTTATATGTATTGTGTACGACAAAGAATTGTATTTGCATGGTTAAGTAATTTTTATGGCATTCAACGATAACCTTAGCATTAAAAGTATGTATAACTGCTATGAAAGCCTTACTAATTAGCATGAAGTAATTTATAACAGAAATTATACATATCTGTACATGTGTATGAATAAAAAAGCACATATACAGTAATATTTTATTCATTCTAGTATTACCATACAGAAAGATTTGAAATGGAAAATTTTCATTTAATGATGTTTAGTCATTCTGCATATATATTACAGAAACTGTATCCTGCAAATGAGTTACGAAATACATCACAGGAACATGTAAAAATATTTAATTAACAGTATACTGGAAAAGAGAAGGTTACTAACCGACAACATAAAGGCAAACAAGAAACACATTTTAATAAGTCTGACAGAATAAAAAAAAGAAATAACAGCATTTATAACTAATAGTTTGTACTGATATGCTTTTCAAGCTCTATTGTATATGAATTATCAAGAAGTAAACGAAACTAAATTAGACAAAAAAGGTTACCCACTTGTTTGAATCTTTCTAATTCTGGATCAGCTGACTTACTTCGAGATGACCTTTTAACAGTCCTATCAACTGACTGCAACACAGTGTACAATTTAGAAATTAAAATTGGAAAGAAATATTACTTCCTTCAAAACTAATTACATGTATTCTACCTAGATCAAAGATTTTGGAGACATTAACATTTAACACAAGTAAAACTATTAGTGCATGAGATGCTGATATTTCAATGTATTGCACATTTAGTTATCTGTCTCACATGAGACATAAAAGAAATACTGTAGGAAAATTAAAGATGTAAACTGAAAGAAAAGGTTGGATTTTTATACTTTGCTAAGGAAATAAAACCAAGTTTTTCTTTTCCTTTTATGTTTTTGAAATTTGTGATGACTTCCTAATAGACTTAACAAAAATAAATTAAAAACTGTATGAAAAAGTGTAACCATTAATTTCTACCATTCAATATATATAATTTTTAAATGTTAACATCAGTAGTTTATAACCTGGAACACCTCCGCCATCTTTTTTATATATTTGAGAATGTATTCCATTCTCAAATAATGGTCTCAACTTTTAACTTTCCATTATGAAAATTCCATTAAAATTCAATTCTAAAGTTAATCTTTCTTACAAAGACATAAAAGTTGAGGTAGCACTGACCCTTAAAACTGGGCAAATGTACATGCTGAGGAAACACTATTATACACTTCTTATAGCCTTCAAGTTGAGTACAAAACAAAAATATGATGTTGCAATCTCTGAAAGTACACTTTAAATTTGAATTTAAAAAATCTTTATTAATTGTCTTGTTATGAGTCTAATTAGCACTAATGAAGGCATTAATTAAAATTAATTGTCCATAGCTCACTAACATTGCAGAAAATTTGCAGTTTTTAATTCAAGCTATGAGGATGTTCACAAAGAGCATGTGTATCAATTTTCATATTTTTTCCATCTCTAAGTAAACTTATGATGTTAAAACAGTTTATGTTATGTATTTCTTTATCCCTGCCACATTAATTATGCATATGACATACATGACTGAAAGTGTACTTTCAGAGATTGTGACATCATTCTTTTGTTTTCTGCTCAACTTGTAGGTTATAAGATGTACTTAACAGTGTTTTCTCAGCATGTAAATATGCCGTTTTAAGGGTCAGTGCAACCTTAAACTACAACCACGTGAAATAATATTATCCTGTTGTTTCTTAAAATTATAAAATGGCAATAGACAAAAAAACAAACAGTATCACATATTCTTCATAGCAGAGATGACCAACTTCTTTAAGCTCATGAGCCCATTTCTTACCTAGACTGTAGTCTGGAGGCCGAAACTAATTCACCGGGTAAAAATTATTCAGAATATCTACTTAATTTAAATTCCTACTGTCTACTATAGATCATCAGTTAATTATATGGTTTTGAATAAACAGCTGAGTTAACAATTGAAGAAAGTTCTCAGAACCATCACAGGACTGGTTTGTTTGGTCATAGTTTCATTTTGCCAGTTTGGCCAAAATAAAATATGATTTAAAAGAAAGAAAGAAAAATATCAGGGGCTAGATAAAATACCTTGACAGGTTAGATTCAACCCACAGGCCACCAGTTGGCCATTCATGCTTTAGAGTATAAAGTAATTTATTTTTTGTTAAATAGGAGTACTAACAGGTGAATCACGATTATTGTGAAGAATCAGAAATAACTCATACAGTGTACATTCCACACAAATACAATTTCACATTGTATAAAACCATTGGTAGAATACTACAAAAGTTTCTTTGGGTACAAATCTAACTGCTATTTGGTTAAGGAAAAGTTGTAAAGGCTATCTGCCACCATCCCTAACTTTGAACTGCCGACCAGAGGGAAGGCAACCAGCTGCCAACTCTTGGGCTACTCTTTACCAATGAATAGTGGGAATGACCATCAGATTATAATGCCCATGGCTGAATAGGTGGATCTGTTCAGTACCAGGTTCCAATCCTGTAAGTTGTACATACAAACTAATAATGTATGTATATATGTATGCAGAGTGCAATTTTAAATAGTACCTTAGCACTACAAGCACCATTAATACACATTTATAAAGAAAATTATACATACATGTACATTTATCCTTACAAATAACATTATACACAGAGAGTACAAAATTATGTGTGCTTCATCTCCTATGTTTCTTAAGATTTTAAAGCCATCCTGTGGTATATTTATTAACTTCAGCAAGACCTATAGCACATCTAGAATGTGCATAAATGCAAATGTAAAACTTAAATCTTGTAAACAAAACATAACACTTGTGAACACCACTAGAGAGTGGAGCAACCTGTAACAGTTATGTATACAGCATACATATGGAAACTGTTAATTAATGTTATTTTACATGTACAAGTTAGTTTTAGACATGCATACCATATTCTATATGTGGAGCCTGATACGTGTGTAGACTTGAAACATGCACATACATAGTGATATACATTTTTGAACACTTCATTTTCTTACCCGAGCTCGAGCTTCCTGTTCCAAGTGACGTGATGCATTACTGTCCCCTGCATCTTGATAGCCCATTCCTTCTTCATTGTATGAAAAAGAATCCTTTTTGTAGGCCAGTTCTGGGTATTTTTTCTTCCTTGAGAGAGCTGGTTCCATAGTTTTATCTACAGGCATTTGAAACAGATACAGATTCTATATGTTGCCAATACTCTACATTAGAGCCTACTTTTCCAACCTATATATATATATATATTTAAAACTTCACCTCTCAAGCTCTCAAATGTCTGTTCTGACAACACTTTCAATAAAAATAAATATTTATACTTTCTGACGAGAATGTTTATTCAAGTTTGTGATATCACTAAACAGTTTTGAATAGTGTACTTAGGAATTCTTATGAAGTGTGATGAACTAAAAATTACTCTAAAAATGACAATGATAAAAAATCCTTAAGCCTTCAAGATCGAAAGATGTATACGTAAAAGTAGTAGAGGAAATATAATCCTGTACTGTAGACCTGTACATGCAACAGCTATCACAAGTAATCTACAACTACAACAGAAATCATTCATATCCCTAATAGGTCTTAGGAATTCTGGAATATCAAACACAACAGGAAGTAAAAGCACAACTTGTGTATGGGGAAAATACAATAGACTCTACACATTTATGCACATAAGAACATTCTTCAATTATCCTAAAATTCAAAAATTTACATTCTTGATGAGGATATTTAATGTTGTGAAGCTTCAGAGAGGCAAAAAATCAACAACAATAAATTGGAGTGGTTAGCTTTATGAGGTCCCTACAAAGACACATCAACCTCTTTGAAATATACTTCAGCATCTAATGTTTGTTTGTTTTGAATTTCGCGCAAAGCTACACGAGGGCTATCTGTGCTAGCTGTCCCTAATTTAGCAGTGTAAAACTAGAGGGAAGGCAGTTAGTCTTCACCACCCGCCCACCCATTGACAACTCTTGGGCTACTCGTTTACCAACGAACAGTGGGATTGACCATCACATTATAATGCCCCCATGACTGAAAGGGCGAGCACGTTTGGTGGGACAGGTATCTGAACCCGTGACCCACAGATTGAGAATCGAGCGCCCTAACCACCTGGCCATGCTGGGCTGCATCTAATGATGGAGCTCAGATTCTAAACCATCATCATAAACTTCACTGAAATGACCAACACCACGGAATACTTATAATACAAGTCAGAGCAGTGAGATAGAGGTTTAGTATGAAGTCTTACGTCACCTCATGTCAGTTGCATGTATGTCAAGGCATGAGCTTAAAGCAACCTTTAATGAAATTTTAAAAGAAAATTCACACTTTCATAGTACTCATAATTAACAATATTATCTGAACAAATTATTGTACATCTGTTGGTTCCAGCTTTCAGAAAATATATCTAATTGTAATCTTATACCTACCTGTGTTAATAATCTCTTATTCTTTCAATACTTTAATCTTTCATAACTAAACCACTTAACTGCTCATTTATGCCTTAGCCATTTTGATTGAAGAACCACATAACACCTTAGCCGTTTTGATTGAAGAACCACATAACACCTTAGCCATTTTGATTGAAGAACCACATAACACCTTAGCTGTTTTGACTAAAGAACCACATAACACCTTAGCTGTTTTGACTAAAGAACCACATAACACCTTAGCTGTTTTGACTAAAGAACCACATAACACCTTAGCTGTTTTGACTAAAGAACCACATATCACCTTAGCTGTTTTCACTAAAGAACCACATATCACTTTAGCTGTTTTCACTAAAGAACCATATATCCATTCATGTACATACATTTTGCAACTTGGTCAACACAATTTCATTTTATAGCCAACAAATGTCTGTAAAGGAATTATTCATAAAACCAGATTCTTGACTTAAGTAAAAACCTGTAATTTTTTCCTAAACATAAGGATTAGCTGTTAAATTTTGAATTTTAATGTAATACATTTTGTTCTTAACTTGTAATTGAAAGTTTTTACTCATTAAGCTTATGCAGGTGTGAATTAAAAAATAATCAGTTTATCTCTAATGAAGCCTACACTATTGATTTACACTTCAATGTTTGGAAAGAGGTATACCTATATCTAATAAGTTAATACATGAAGCATAAGAAACTTTATGAAGTATACAGTGTGTTAAACACAATATTTACCACTATGTTCTTTCAGTAAGGATCTTCAAAACAGTAGCGTTTGTAATTAAATAAGCTTTTATTTATCTACAAGAAAAAAATTTTCCCACCACTAAAATAAAACATTTTATTATAATAACAAGTAGTAACTACAACTAAGTCAACAGCTTATATTTATATCTGGAGAACAAAACTACATTATAAATTTATACTGAATAATAAAAAAAGCTTTTCCTAGTTGTGGTACGATGACTGCAAAATTAAAACTGTTAGTAAAATATGACAACTATGACTGATATATATATTAAATCAATACAGTGCACAACAGAATGGTTTGTAGAAAATTATATTTATGTTACGGCTACACAATTTTCTCAATCTTCTCAACCGCACGTATAGATATGGTGTGGTAATTAAATACATGTACTGTAACCCTGCTTGGTTGCAGAGGTATGAGTCAACTGATGTGTAGCATTCAAACAACTAGTCAGTCGGACAGTTTATTGTCATTAGTTTGTGGATAACTCAAATAGAGTTGTCTACATTCAAGTGTACTTGTATAATACTGAGCAGAGAATCTAAAGTTCCTGTTATTACAAGAAATAGACAATTTCTACAACAACTCATGGTAAACACAAAGAATTACTCTACCAATATATACATTCCAGCTTTGGCTGTTCAGTAATGATCGAACATTATAATCATGAAAGGATTACAATAGAACTACTCTCTATCAATCATCACTGCTGTAGAAGGAAGTAAACTGATCTGGGTGCGTCCTCATTATCAATTACCACTATCCTGGCAATATATTTTAATTTAAAAATATTAAACCTAATCACAAAATTATACAAGGTACAAAACAGGCCAATAAACAGACGTATGATTATATATGTAGTTACCATATAAAATCTGTTTACCTGTGTGTACACAGGTTACAGGATATAGCACATACATTTAATAATTTGTCCTCCCCTCTCTAGTCCATCACAATGTTTTCTTTTCCATAATAATTTTTCAAATCATTAATTCCAATGTGCATCACACACATACATCTTATTCCCATTATATAAAAAAAATGTATATAATGTGTTCAATCAATTTTAACCTTATAACCAAACATGTTATACTATACAGATACTTAACTGTTTATATTAAACTACTACATTAATCCAGATGTTAACCCTGTCAAGTACTCGTGAAATAATATAAATAACTAGAAGAGAGGGTCCTGCAGAATTAATACTTGTACATATATGGCACATACTAATCCTGTTTTATAAATGCAAGGATTTAAATTATAAATGACTGAATAAAAATAACTGTCTCATGATATTGAACTTTTTTTGGACCCGTGTGAATTTTTTGACAAGATTTAATTATTCCTTACAAAATTAATGTTGGGTTGTTATATTTATCTTTTTGAATGAGTTTGTTTGTTTTAGTGTAAAAGCTACACACTGGGATATCCATGCTGTGCCCATTGAGAGAATCAAGCCCTGAATTTTAGTTTTACAAATCCTGAAATTTACTGTTGAGCCATTCTTTAGATTTTAAATAAGTTTACCAAAAAACTATTTCTTAGTATATCTCCTGAAATAAAAAAAACTTCTTGTCAAAGATTGAATATTGATGTGTGACCTTTTTTTCGAACCAAAAGTCAATGTTTAAAAGACAATATGCAATATTTTTTAATGCGATATTACATTTCTAAGTTATAAAAATGACAATTTTTAAGTGTACTATATTATATTCTAGAATGCCATGGGCTACTGTGAATTCTTCATTTGCATACATTGTTGATTTTTTAAACAAGACTTACTGAATCACTGTTATACAAAAGATTAATTATATTTTAATTATGATTTCAAGAGTTAGTATTAAAAGATAAAAGTATTATGTTAATCATAATACAGGTAAACATCAATATATAATATACATCACAGCCTTGTGCCATGTACATTAGTTTGAGGAACTGAAAAATTGACAAAACATTTATAGTTAACTTTCAATTTTAGACTTATCAACACAGCTCTTACGTGCCTTGCAAATGTTGGTCTTTGGATGAAATACCATTATCATTACAATGAAACCAATAAAACATACACCTGGGTGAGCTATTTATAAGATAGTTGCCCACTTCTTGGTATTAAGTGAAGCATACCTCAATTCATAAGCACTAGGAACACAAAAACAAAGTTAAGAACCTGACAACATAACATAGCCTAAGTTTTATTAAAATAACGAGTTAGCTCTATGAATGTGAAAAAGAGATTATAAAACAACAACTTTTTTTCTACACTCTTTTTCTTTTTAAAATATAGTTTTCTTGCCTGACTAAACATTTAACAAATTCTTAACTTCAGTCTCTACTAGTATTTCTGTTGAACAATGACTGGTGTTTAGCACTTAACTTGTTTGGTTGGTTATTTTCAGTATTCATGCTATGGGACCCTAATTTTGAATATACACACAGAATATACATGTATTTCTAAGTAAGCAAAAATGTGCAAAGAATATTTCACTTTCTGCTTTTCTTCTCTGTTATTTCAAGACTGGCAGTTAGCAGTTACTGTACCCACACACTTTTCTCATTAAACATAAAGCATTGTAGCAATATCATTTTTTTTTACTTACAAAAGATGAAATTAAAAGCTATTAGTCTGAGTAAGTACCAGATAGGACACTACAGTATATGTAACAAATATATACTCTTCATAACTACCAGTGCCATCTAATGGCATAATCTTAAATTATAATTCATATTGACAGCTTATAGGTGAACAGTATTTACCACAAAAATATCATTCACTTAATATAGTAATAATAATTTTTTCTGAGATATAATGTTTTTTATTATCTCTATACTGTTTAAGAAATAGAATATTATAAGTTTAAAAAGTAATATATTAACACATGGTTATCTTGTATCACCTAATTTACAGCAATTCTCAGTTATCACACTGGAAAACATATAAAAGTTTGTAACTACATTATAGCAACA